TGTATTTTTAGTGACAGAGTCTGTATGGAAATTGTGGTATATTTTCTTCCCGTGCCACGAAATTCAATTGAATTTACTTTTCTCCATTTTGATTTTTAGTGACAGAGTCTGTATGAATGAGCGTGTTGTAGGTGACGTACTGGATGGGAAGGATGCCAGAAGTTTTACTCAGTCTTGCACGCAAGCCCACGATAGATGATTTGTCGAAATCGAGGTAATAAAATTCCGTGGTAATTTCCTATACTACTAGGGTTGGTGTGAACATATGTTTGCTTTCCTGAACTCAGGAGGTTTCTAATTAGAGAATTTTACATGGGAAAAAATTTCAGAAAAAAAGATTTCACATTGTTATCAACGCACGTTGTTGGTTCACTGAAATGGTATGTAGTCATGGTATAGGAATATATGTTTGTTTTCCTCAGCTGAGCTCAGAAGTTTTCTCACTAATTGTAGAAGTTTATGGAAAAATTTTCCGAAATTTTCTCAAAATTTCCACATTGTCACTGACCATTTTGAGCTTTTCTAAAATTTGTGTATTTTTACGAAAAAATATATCTGAGTTTCACCACCCTAGTGATATGAATAACACCAGTGAATATCGTGTTTTTCACCGAGTTTTACGCCACTTTACGTGAAACTGACAGTGCGGTAAAATATGCACATTGAAATTTTGAGGAAATTTTGGTAAGCTACTTTTCTACTTTTTACTCGAATTTGTTTATGAACTTCTAAGCTCAGTTGAGGAAAGCAAACATATATATTCCCACACTGAAAACTTTAATTCACATTTTCGAATTTAGATTTTATTGGCCTTTGGGATTGAAAATGAGCGTTGATGCTGATGAGGAACAACCGTGGGAAATGGTAATAATTTTTTTGTGAATTTTTTTACGGAAAATTTTTTTTTCTCAGACGGTCGAAGAATATTGGGATAGACTCAAAATTGGTGTTTTTTTGAATCATCGAGAATTGATGATGGCGATTGCGAAAATGCTGGAAATTGGAGGGAAAGTTGAAAGTGATCTTCCTGCTGGGAGTATGTTTGTTTTCGAGGTAGTATTATGAAGTGGAGTTTCACCACCATAGTGATATGCAGCGTGAGAATATATGCATATGGTCGGCTACATGTGTTGCCGAAAATAATAAAATTCTGAGGAAAAATTTTGGGAAATTTTCGTTGGTTTTCGTACACTTCCACCCAAAATTGTGTGAATTTTCATAATATGGTGAGGAAACTTACGAGCTCAGTTGAGGGAATCAAACAGGTATTGCAACACTGGTGATATGAAAAACACTAGTGAAAAAATCATATTTTACGAAATAAAAAATGGTAAGCAAACAGAGAATAGAAAATAAGAAATTAAAGAATTTTTACTAATCGGAAATCACGTTTTTTATGAAAAGTTTTACTCGTCTGAGGCGGAAAACTGACCAGAAAATTTCTATATGCTGTTGATCATATTAAGAATTTTTCACTGATTTTTTCCTTATTTTTTAGCAAAAATTGGAAACGACGTTTTTGATGGATGAGTTTTACTCGTGTGAGATCATATTGGAAAATTTTTTCCGAAGGTTTACTAGGAAGATGGCTCGTCGGAAACGTGAGTAAGAAATCGAAAAATTAAAAGAATATTTTGTACTATTCGGAAATGACGTTTTCAATGAGTGAGTTTCACTCGTGTGAGCTGTGAAAATTTTCAGAAAAAAATTCGATATTTTGCTGATCACATTGGGAATTTTTCCACAGGTTTACGAGGAAGACGGGTCGTCGGAAACTTCGTTGAAGATGAAATTTTGGAAACCTACGCAACCGAGTGCTGAGCAGAAAGTGAGTTATGGAAGTGAACGAGAGGGTCTCGAAATGATGAAGTCGTGAATTTTCACGAGAGTATGTTGTATTTTTTTAACAGGGCGTTTTTATTGTGTTTTTTTATGATTTTTAGTTATTTTCGTGGATGATATTGTGATCCGATATGAAAAAAAATCGAAAAAATAGTTTTTTACATCGTTTCTTACGATTTTTCACCGTGAAAATCGCGGTATGCAGTAGTCGTGAAATATATTTTTCACCAGTGTTTTTTATATCACTAGGGTGGTGAAACTCCAGTGTTTTGATTTTATGCATTCTCTCGGATATATTTAGCAATGAAAAAACTATGAAAAAAACTCAGCGTGAAAATGTGAGAAAATGGAAATTTTGGGAATTTTTTGTTGGTTTTCGGATAGTTTTTCGTGTGTAAACTCCTAAAATTAGTGAGGAAACTCCCGAGCTCAGCTGAGGGAAGCGAACATATATTCCACTACAATAACCGACGCTTTTAAAACAAGAGCATCGACATGAGTTGCAACACGATGAGTTGTGGTGTTTTCCAACTTTGTGTGGTAGTACCGCGGCGGCTACGTCGATGGTAACTTGTTGGATTTTTATGGTAATGGGAGTGTTACGGAGCTCACCCCGAAGATTTGCGAGAACCAGAGCAAATGTATGTGGAGTGATTACAGGTGAGCAAAGGGGGCTGATCCGGTGTTGATAAATGTGTTGGTATATTGTGGCTAAAAGCTGAAATGTAGTCGCTTCGGTGGAAATCATGGGAGTTTTGGTGTAACGGTAGAGCGTTGCTATTACTATGTGAAGGTTGTGGGTTCGATTATCGGTAATATTATGTCGGGCTTGGATCGGCTTGTTGATGTAGGGTTCTCGTTCTAAGAGTGCTGATTTTCATCTATTTACCTCTCCCAGTTTTACTTGAATATTGAATATTCTTGTTGATGTTGTGAGGAAATAGTTTTTTTTCGCAGGCGCGCCCTTCAGCAGTGGACTCGTCGCACAGGGAGTTGGGAGGAAATCTGCCACGCATCAGCTGAACCGTTCGGCCCGGCTGAAGATTCTCTTATCGATGACGACGATGATGATATGTGGATGTCGCCGCATGAGCGAGTTCTACAGAGAATCATTTATGGTGCGTATATTGTGTATGTGGAATTTCTGAATTTTTCTCTACTCGCAGGTTTTGATGGTAGACAGGAAACAGTGGGAAAGGCGTATTCAGCTGCTGCAGTAGCTAGTTCGGGTAAGTGTATATTGTGTTTGTAACTAGGTCGTCCTAACGCAGAGGCGAAAGCCGGATTCGTATATACAGTTGTATAGACTCCTGAGCTCAGCTAAGGAAAGCGAAAATATATTCCTCCAAAACTGGCAGCTGGGTTAAGTATATCTTGAATAACTTCGTTTTGCATCAAAGCCGTGTGTGTACGGAGTATATTCGATCACACGAATTTGTGAGGGTCATAGTATTTCGAGATTGTGAGGGCGAGTGCTAAAGTCAAGTCGGCGCGCACCTAGTAATCCCCCCTCAACGATAATATGTTACCAACTTCTTGCCCCTCCCACTACACCCAGAACTCCGATTCGAATGTCGAGTCTGCTGAGGCTGATGGCCGTCCTTGCTTCCCAACGTTGTGATTAAATGGAGATCCGTCATCCTCACCGGAGCTCGAAAAGATTGTATCATTTTTGTCAAAAATGGTTTCAAGGCCTTCCGGTGTAACCAAAGCCTGTTTCTCAGTGTTGGAATACCTGTTTGATTTCCTCAACTGAGCTCGTAAGTTTCCTCACCATATTATGAAAATTCACACAATTTTGGGTAGAAGTGTACGAAAACCGAGGAAAATTTCCCAAAATTCTTTCCTCAGAATTATATTATTTTCGGCAACACATGTAGCCGACCATATGCATATATTCCCACGCTGCTGTTTCTATTTGTGAAGTTGCCGAATGTTCGGTGTGCATAAATCCGAATATTCTCGGAGTTTTCAATAGATTTCTCCTCAATTTCAAGAGCGCTCACAGATTCGAGTTTTACACGTAAAATCTAATCTTAGCAGCAAAGAGAAGTCTATACAACACGCCAACTATCACTCACTTTCAGATACAGTGCTGGCTTAGATTGTCAAATTCGAAGCTTGCATTCCAAAAGTGATGACGTTCACATCTTGCTGTGCTCTCCCGTCACGTGTTTAGTGCTCTGAAGTTTTGCTTGGCTGTGGTGTTCGTCAGTGATGCCGACTTGTGCGGAATGATTATTCTGTTGAGGAATAGTGTCTCTGCAGACCGCGGCATCAACCAAGTTCCTCTCTTGCTGGTGACTACTGTTATTGAAACGAAAAAGATGAATTGGTTTGAACAGGAGCAAGGAATGAACCGACGACCTTCTGCTTGTGCTGCAGACGACATAACCATTAGACTGTCCTGACGACAATTTTATCGCATTCCGCTTAATCCAGATCGGAGTAATAGACTACAAATACGTGACCATCATCGACGAGGTTATCACACTGATATCCTCTACAATATCTCCAACTGAAGTATCATCCTCATGGTCCGACTCAACATCATCAATATCATCGCCGGACTGCATTGAATGAAGTTGCATATCTACGCCTAGTATAAAACTCATGATAGTTGCTTAAATTGTGTGCAGCGTCGATCCCGCTGCCACCAACACTGCCAGTAGAGCTCTGGGAGGAGGGCAGGAAATCATCTCAAGGAGTTGGAGTCCACCCCCTGTGATCATTGATCACATGTTAATGAATCATTATCATGTTATCATCCATTTAATGAACTACTGTTATCAACACCATGGTCAACTTCATCACCGCCGTACATACCAATACACTTCCGATCGCAGGAGAGACGATAACAAAACTAGCCAGTACAAAGTCTAAATGAGCTGCTATGACCCTATGAAGGTCCAGCGCTACTAGATCCCCCCTTTTCAGAGAAAGACTGCCCAAGTAGACAGACTCGCCTACTCGTAGTAGGCGACTTCTTCGGTGTCAGAGTCTTCACACACATATTGGGATCACCCGTTCTCTCCAGTTCCGTCTTTGGTGAAAACATAGTGTTATAATAGCACTGGAGTTTCACTCGTTTCACGTGTTATGAATACACTAGTGAGAAATATATTTCACATCTCACTTCGTGAAGAAAAATTCCACTTCGCGAAATTCTATTCCAAATATTTCTTCTGCCCCTGTCGCGACACTTTTCGGATGGAAAGACTTTCGAAAGGCTCGTACGAATGGAAAGACTCAGCAGAACCTTCCAAAAATTTCAGATTGTCACGATCACACGTCGTCGAGCATGTGCAAATTTTCCCGGATCTCAGCACTATTGACAGCCCATTGAGGTCACAGTAACTGCAACTCGAAAAGTAGCACACCATTTCACAACAACAACAAGCAGCAGTTCATGTAAATGAATTGATAGAGATGATCATTATAAGGAGAGCGCCAGCAGAAAAGACCGATACGTTAGGTTATAATTTTCGTACTGAGGAGGCCACTTTCCTCCAGTTGGGCCTCGGGATCACTTCCTTTATACCTCTCAAGGTGTCGTAAACTTTAGTCATTCTCGATTGAGCTCTTCTTTTCTTCTTCTCAGCGGGGAAAGCAATGCAAAATTTCCGGACAAATTTTTCCGCGACTGACTCAATGAGAGAATCGTCATCGATGAAACCAGTTTTATCAGTCTTTTGTAGTGCGCCAACTGCCAACCATTTCGTGGCAGCTTCGACGTCCTCGAAATAAAATCCATCAGGAAATTCCACTGAAACTTCCTTAATGCGTTCAAGAGATGGTAACCCGGGCCACGCGGCAGGGAAGGACCTGCGGATTCCGTAGACTATCAGCTGAGTTCAACCGATACCTACGTCTTTCCGAAGGGCATGTCGCGGACCTCAGTCCTCGCAAGACCTTCCTCTTCTTGTGTTGGGCAAACGAGCCTTTCGAGCGTGAGTTTTGAGCCTTCCACTGTAAAATCCATAGATGCGAAATAGTTGTCATCTCGAACGCGGTATCTTCTTAGGTCGCCAGAAGTCGAAAAAACGAACTACGCATAAGTACTTTACGCAGTGTGGGAATATATATTTGCTTTCCTCAGCTGAGCTCCAGAGGAGTTTCCTCACTAATAATACAAGTTTATGTACAAATTTGTGTTGAAGTGTACAGAAACCAATGAGAATTCCCCCGAATTTTCATCAGAAATTTCATACTGTCACAACTATGTGGATGTTTTCCCATAGTGATGCCGCATGTCTCTCACCTTGTATTCAGCATTCCAGTTAATACTCTCATCGAGAATTCCGCTGGGGAGTGTTCGTGTCAGGAACTACGAGAATTCAGCGATTGCCCAGCAACTTCAGTTGTCACTCACAGTGTATGTTGGTTCGCTCATATCAGGCGTAGCGTGCATCTCAAAGAAAGGTGGGACCTGAGAAGAGGGTCAACGACGATTACACCTTTCCTCATAAGAGTTTGAAAACTTAACATGCAGTGTTACCAACAAATTTGACTTTGAGAATTCAAGCATGTTACATCTAAGGTTGCCTATATGAATTGAAGTTTGCCGTTATATACCATTTTTCACGAGCACAATTGACAGTTAAAAATTATAACATTGGAGTTTTTCACCCGTTTTATGTGAAGTGGCGTAATACTCTGTGAAAAACGCGATATTCGCGGTGATATGTAGTGGTCGTGAAATATATTTTT